AAAATCCATGTTACTTAGGTAAGAACTTGGAAAAAAACAACAACACTTTCAGAGTCTAACAAGATATTTGATGCTTTGAAATCACGGTAAATGACTGGCTTTTCTGCTTCATGGAGATAAGCAAGACCCTTGGCAGCTCCTAGAGCAATTTTCATCCTGGTCGCCCATGGAAGAGAAACCGAATACCCTGCACCGAGGAAGATCGATGGACGTCAGTTTCGGATCATTAGTTCCTTTCATTAACAAATGGTGATTTGCAGAGATATCTTATTCATACATACTTCTGAATAGCTGATTCTCCAAGCTGCCTCTAGGCATATATTCATACACCAGCAGCCTATTGTCTTCTTCGCAACAGTATCCGAGCAGCTTCACCAGATGCCGATGACTCAATTGTGCAAGAAAGATCACTTCAGTCTGCTCGAAAAAACAAACATTTCTCAATAATCAAACCTCAACCAAAATATTGATCGAAAAAGATACACATATAATATACTCACCAGCCACTCTCTGTGTCCTTGCAGGCCTTGTAGATCCAGGTTTTTAACAGCAACAGGCTGAGCTTTCAACCCAGGCCTAAGCTTGTCATCAATGAACCCTTTATGAACCTTTCCAAACCCACCTTCACCCAGAAAATTCGCCGGTGAAAAGCTCTGTGTTGTCACATTTAGCTCCCCAAGCGTAAACACATGAAGGTTGGAACCGACAAGCGAGGTCGACAAATCTTCCGACAACATCGAGGAGCTTGGATAACTCAAGTCTAACATGGCAAACCTTGTGAATGATGAACTTTGCTTTGAATCTTCCTTCTTCGGCTTCCCTTCTGGTTTCACGACACCCTTCGAACAGGTCGGGATGATGGATCTCAAAATAATCTTCACCACTGTCATTTTCCCCCCAGAATCTGCAAATTCAGCTCTCTATGCATACATACAAGAGTTTGACATTTGTGTATATATATATTTATATGTCGAGAAGAATAGGTAAGTCCACAAAAGTAGGTTCAAAACAAAATGACGCGGCTGCCCCCTTTGACTCCCATTCTTATTTTCCATGAAAAGGAGAAGCTTGTTTCTGGCATTTGTATGAAAGCACAGTCGGATGGTGGTTGTGCTTTTCCCAGGATCGACTCCCGTTAAGGTAACAATAACGATACAAAATTCAAAGGTGTGGGCTTGTTTTATTGAATTAAAAAACGAGAATTAGGTATTAATCTTGCAGAAAGGAAGAGAACAGCGTGTACCAGCTGGTAAACCCGGGGTGAGGACCATTTTATCTCTACTTTTTTCTTGTTAATCAACTCGGAAACTCTGCGTTTGTTTCTGGACTTCTTAAACGAAAGAGGTTGCCACTTGGCATAGTTGCAATAACAATAACGTATTTATCTTCCAGAAGATTTGATCAAAGATGATGGTTGACATGGATATGAATATGATGAAAGTATACTGTATGCATGACGATCAAACCACATGCGGATCATCATCAGCTTGATCACCACCGCGTGAACTGGAGACTTTTTCTCCATCATTTTCTTTTTCGTGGATTCGATGTCCAGATGAATGTCTTCATCTAATATTAATCTTTCCATCTATTAAAATGATAAAAGGGGAAATGCCTCAACGAGACAGAACTTGGCATCGTGTAAATTGTAATGTAATGTCTTCACGTAAAGAAGTCAACGGACAATATTGTCAACGTAAGGGGAAAATGACGACCGCGTCTCGTATGAATGAAATGAAAGTCATTTTAGACCAATTACATTTGAACAAAATATATATAAAAAAAATGTTCAATGGGCATAATTGCATGGTTTCTTCACAAATTCAAAACAATTCCACCAAAAGACACTGCTTTCTTTGATTTTGTACATAAAAAACAAAGTTGTTGTTGACATTTTAAAGAGGAATTTGCGGGGATGATAAATTAATTATATAAAGATGAAGGGCTCAATTAGAAAATAGTATCATATCTCTTATATATTTAGAGATATGATATTCATATCTTTATATATTTTTTCTATTAGATCTATATATGTTGTGTAAGATTGGATCGAGTCAGTCAATTTACGAGTTTTTACTTCAAAAACTAAATCGAGTTTCAAGCTAGGTGGAATTTTCCTAAATCAAAATCGAATCAAATGACGAGTGAATGGTATTATACTCAAGTCGAAGTCAAATCAATAAAAAATATGACCAAACTCAATTCATGTCTATCCCTTATTACATATTTAATAAATCTAGTATACATTAGAATTAAGGGTAAATTATAGATTTAGTATCTAAACTATCATTTTTGATTCGTTTTAGTATTTTAACTTTCATTTTTTTCAAAACTATTCTTAATGTTTAGTTTTTTTATCTCATTTTAGTACCTCTACTGTTAAAAACTTTAAGCGTTTAGTACTTGAACTATCAATTTTGGTCCGTTTTAGTACTAAACTTTTACTTTTTTTAAAAAATTAACGTTAAATTTTGAACATAGTACTAAAACGAAACAAAAACTAAAACTAAACTATCCTTCATTGGACTGAGTCTGCCTTATCACTATTCCATTTTTCACCCTCAAGAGATTCGAACCACGCCCTTGTCCCCCCTCAAGCGACTCAAACCCTGAGCGCCTAGCCTGAGCGTGCAAGCACCCATTCTGATCGAACCTAAACCCTCACATCATGTATCCACTAACCAAAACCTTAAAACCCTAAATTTAAAACTCTAAACACTCACACCCTAAACCCCCATTAAAACTTCAAAGTATTATTAAGGACTGAAATTGAAACCTAGAAAGATCAGGGATAAAAAAGATAGAATGTGTAAATTTTGAGGATAAAAAATTTTACTGCACCACACCACGTCATCATTTATGTTAAATCAACTGTGGAACGTAATAGCAGGGGTGATTGAAACAGAAATGAAACATAACATCAGATATAATTTTAGAAAAAGTATAATTGGAGGACCGAAACATAAATATAAGAAGCTGTAAAACGTCAATTCAGTCACTATATTGAGGACGAGAAAATCAAAGTTGCATTTGAAACTTATCTAGTAAGTATATATTAATAATATCAATCAATTCCATCGAAAATGTCGTATTAAGTGAGGGCATTGAAGAGCAAGTGTGTGTTGGTTGTCCAACCAAATCATCCCAGATAAGTAGCCTGGAAACTAGAATCATTCAAGGGTTTAAAGGCGTTTTTGGCCCTCAAATTTTCGAGAAATATCATTTTAATCCTTTAACCCTTTGTCTTATTTAATTATCGAATTTATAATTTTTTTTATCAAATTAAACCAATTTATAAAAAATATTAATGGATCCGTTAAACAATCATAAACTATTTCGTGTTTTTGTCAATATCAACGTCAATTATTTGTCATTTAAAATAAAAAATTAAAAGGTATTCAAAGAAATATTTGAAAATAATAAATATCTGCCTATATTCATTCTCCATGGCCCATCATCATATAATAATGCGCTAATACTTGTCCCTCAGGTCCAAAGAGTTGGGTCTTGTTGTCCTGAAGTATTAATTTCTTTAATAACGAGATTGGTTTAAGTGGTAAATATTTTAATATTGTTTTAGTAAAATTCTATATTTGAGTCTTTGTTGTGTAAAAAATTAAAAAGATTTATTCATTAAAATAAAATGTGCGACGTGAATCAATTCGAATTAATGAAAAAAAAACCTCAAAAATCGAGAGTACAAAAAAAATATTGATGCCCATACATTATTCCCCCCCCCCTCCAATCTATTCTTCTGGTACTCGGATGATTACGTCTTGCCCATGACCTTATTTCCCTTTCCTTATATATTTTTTTTATACTTGTGTGATTAAGAGACAGGGTCGAGACAGGGTTTTTAGGGATCCTATACAAATTCTTATAAAGGAGTCTCTATTTTCTAGATATATTCAATTTTAGGATAATAATAGTGGCGTTTTTTTTTACAAACGCCGCGATAGATCCATATATAATGGCGTTTTATCAATAAAACCGCAATAATAGCGACGTTTTTTTAAAACGTCGCAATAGGTCCATCTATAGTGGCGTTTATTGAAAAAACGTCACTATATATATACTTTTTTGGGAGCTTTTTTGAGGACCTGCGCGGTCGCGCAGTTTGCGCCGCCCCAACCACGGTCCTCTTTTTAGAAAATATTATCATTTCACAGTTTTGAATACGTCATATTACTTGTTTCATTAAAAATAATATTATTAATACAATAGTATTAACTTTTTCATTGTTAGGGTATCAATGGCAGATTAAAATCTAAATTTTATTCGATTAGTTACTTATTATATTAATGGTATTTACTTTAAAAAAATTGTACATATCCTGAAACTTGAATTTTCTTTGGTTAATTATATATTCTAATGATGGTGTCCATCCTATTATAAATTTTATATTATTAATATATGTGTGTACGCTCTAAAAAATATTTTTAAATCCGTCATTGTTTGGTACTCTCTCTCTCTCTCTATATATATATATATATATATATATATATATATATATATATATATATATATTTAAACGGTCAACAAGTATTGGTATAAGTGGTTGAGATTCAAGAATTTGAGCTTGTAAGGTAAAGTTTAAATTTTACCACCGTCATTATTTGTGGGAAATCTTCTTAATTATTTGATAATAAATAGTCATACACTCGGTCAGATGTGATATTCGAATTCGAAACTTCAATAAATAACAATAATTTATTATTATAAAACTTTTAAAATTAAAGTGATTTTTTCATAAGAGAACACGTTAGATAGTTTGATAATTGGACGCAAGGAAATACGTCAGGTTGAAAATAACAAACAAAGCAGAACCCATTCAAGATAAGGACGTCCAACAAAGTGAAATACTAATAAAAAGTCACTAAATTATAGTAAGGACTAAATTCACCAAAAACTTTTAATACAAGGACAGTTGATGGAATTTGACCATTTAAAAGAGAGAGACGTTTGTCGATCATGAGATTCTTTTAAATTTGCCTCCACAACAACAGAATCATATCACCAACAAGAAGAAAAGCAAAGGGAAAAAGAACTTAATCATGGCTCCGTTAACGTTGGTGTCCTCCATCGTCCTCCTACTATGCTCCGCCGCCACCGCCGCCGCATCAACCTTCAAGGACTCCAACCCCATCCTGATGGTATCCGACGGTCTCCTCGGCTTCGAGTCCACCGTTCTTCGTGTCATCGGTCGTAGTCGCCATGCTATCTCCTTCGCCCGTTTTGCTTACAAGTAACACGATCATCTTTAGAACTAAAAGGAGAGAAAAAAAGAGTGCTAAACTGAGATGAAAATTCTGGGTTTCTTTTTCTGTAGGCATGGGAGGAGGTACGAAAACGTGGAGGAGATGAAGCTACGGTTTCAGATTTTTAAAGACAATTACGATTTAATCAGATCAACTAACAGCAAGGGATTGCCTTACACTCTTGCTGTCAACCGTACGTTACTTTTTTTAGTTTTTTTCCCATTTTTGGGTATAATTTTGAGTTTATTTCAGTTGATGAAGAGTTTATCTATGATCTGTGTTTCGATGATGAAGAGTTTGCGGATTGGACATGGGAAGAGTTTCAGAAACACAGACTGGGAGCTGCTCAAAACTGCTCTGCCACCACCAAGGGCGATCATCAGCTGACTAGCGTCGTCCTCCCCGAATCGGTAAAAAAAAATTAACCATTTTTATTGATATCCATCCGACATTATTTCCGAAGTTCGATATTAGGACATAATTCGGACACTCTGCGTGTGATATGTGCAGAAAGACTGGAGGGAAGCCGGCATAGTCAGCCCTGTAAAAGACCAAGGTTCTTGTGGATCTTGCTGGACATTCAGGTTAGCTGCTGTTTCACCAGGCAACTAAGGTCACGTTGTATAGATATCTGTTGTAATTCAATTGTATAAATTTTCAGTACAACCGGAGCTCTCGAGGCAGCTTACCATCAAGCATTCGGGAAATCGATTTCTCTGTCCGAGCAGCAGCTCGTGGACTGTGCAGGAGCTTTTAATAACTTCGGCTGCAACGGTGGATTGCCGTCCCAAGCCTTCGAATACATCAAATACAACGGTGGCCTCGACACCGAGGAGTCGTACCCTTACACTGCTAGGAATGGTCTATGCAAATACTCTCCTCAAAATGTTGGTGTTAAGGTCATTGAGTCTGTCAACATCACCCTGGTAAGTTCACAAAAACACCATCTCCCATCTGGTATTAGCCGCTTTTGAATCTAAATGTATAAACGAACAGGGTTCTGAAGATGAATTAAAGCATGCAGTCGCCATGATCCGACCAGTTAGTGTGGCATTCGAAGTCGTCACGAGTTTCCGTTTCTACAAAAGCGGAGTTTATACCAGCAACACATGTGGTAGCACATCCATGGTAAGCTTCTTCTTCATCAAGGGATACTTGTATGCTCGGAGTTGACCTAACAATGGGGGTATGTGGCAGGATGTGAACCACGCCGTCCTTGCGGTCGGATACGGAGTTGAAAACGGCGTTCCTTATTGGCTCATTAAGAACTCGTGGGGCGCAGAATGGGGTAACAATGGCTACTTCAAGATGGAGATGGGCAAGAACATGTGTGGTAAGAAGCTCAACCCCATTAGATCTCCATTTTATCTTCTTCTAAGTACGAGATTGAAACTTTTTCACGTCATCATAAACAGGTGTAGCAACTTGTGCATCGTACCCGGTTGTTGCTTGATCCGATCGATTAAACAGCCTCAGATCAGGTCGTTACTTGGACGTTGAGTTGTAGTCGGTGTTCAGGGTCACGGTCTAGTTGAAACAGATGGGTTCATGTACAATAAAGTTCAAAGATATACGTATGTAGGATGCAATATTTGTACACAAGAAAGACATGGTGTAAATTCTCTCTGTTTGAACGCTTGTTGTGTAATAGTTTGCCCAACAATGGAAATCAATTGGAGTTTTTTATTTCATCTTAGTATCTCATCCTTAAAAATTTAATGCACGGACTCGTCGACTATTACGTCTATAATTATTGATCGTCGTATCCGTCAGTCGATAAAGTCCAAACATGATTTTCTGAACGTGATTCTGGTATCTGTTTCACTAGAAAATACCTCAATTTTTCTAAATCGACGATGAACTCTTCAACTTCTTCATCCTCTGATCTCTGTCGTTGACCATCCAATGCGCCTGAAACTAGACTATGTTGGTCAACTCGTCATTCTCTTATGGTCCACTGTTCAAATTGGTCGTCCGTCAACCATAGTTATGCTTTCGTCAGTCCATCTGTTAAACTTTTAATTACGGATACTAAAATAAAACAAAAACTCAATTCATCCGTTAAGTTTTTAACGATATAATATTAAAATAGAAAAAAACTAACAATAATTGTGTGTTGTCTTTTTACTCTGTCAACCAAACGGTGTGCTTTCGGGATTGTCTCAGGAAATGCGGGTTAATATACGGCTAATATACAGCATTACCGGATACATTAAAATGTATTTAATAAATTCGGTTTAGCGGTACCTATTATGTTGACAACTAATAATGTTTTAGGTAGAAAAAATGAAAAACTATTAAAAAATTTGGTAACCGGTAAACTTTGGTTATCGGTAAGTATCTATCCTTTTTATAAAAGTGTCCATACGTTTAACATATCAAGTAAATTTTACCGGTTTTGTCATAATGAATCTGGTTTTGTCATATTTTTACCTGTTATATTGTAAATTATCTATCCTTTTTATAAAAGTGTCCATACTTATTTCACTGTGAAAATATATTTATTATTATCTTTAGTTAATATTGTTAAATTTAAAATCTAAATAATATTTTATAAAATATCAAAACAATCAAATAATTTTTTGTGTAAATGAAATTATTAAATTAATATTGTAGGTGGAAAACATGAAACACTATTAAAAAAATTGAAACATAAATTACATAACTTTCAAAAAAGTATATATCATTTTTATAAAAGTGTCCATACTCATTTCACTGTTGAAAACATATTTATTATTATATTTGGTTAATATTGTTAAATTTAAATTCTAAATAATATTTTATAAAATATCAAAACAATCAAATAAAATTTTGTGTAAATTAAATTATTAAATTAATATTGTAGGTGGAAAACATGAAACACTATTAAATAAATTGAAACATAAATTACATAACTTTCAAAGCAGTTTTAAATCCTAAAAAGTGTCGATACTTTTAAAAAATATATCGATCCAAAATGATATACCAGGTAAAAATATGATAAAACCGGTAACAAAATGATAAAACCGGTAAATTTAAAAGTGTCGATACGTTATATAAGGATCGACACTTTGTGAATTTAAAAGAGAAGCAGTTATAGCGCCTATAATGTGTCGATACTTTAAAAAAATATATCGATCCACAACGATATAACAGGTAAAAATATGATAAAACCGGTATCAAAATGATAAAACCGGTAAAATGATACCGGATATATTGAAAGTGTCGATACTTTCGTAAGTACGTGTAATAAATTATCGACACTTTCAAATAAATAGGTAATTATCATTTCGAAAGTATCGACACCTGACATAAAAGTATCGACACTTTTGTATTTGTATCGATTAAATATAAATAACATATCCGATGAAAATATAAAGGCCATAGCTAATATCCTCTGAAAAAAGATAGAACGGACGAGTTTTGAAATCGAAGAGTAATTGTTGCTGCATTTCAGAAGGCGTTTCTAAAGCGAAGTTTGTTTGTTTGTTGCTGCAGTCGAATTGAAAAGTATGTTGTCGAAACCCTAATTTTTTATTATTACAGTAATCGCGATAGGGTTTTTTATGTGTTGTTTGGGGTTTTGGAGTAAGGAAGCATTTGGGACCGATTGCAGGTAGAAATAGATATTCAAGGAAAAATATAAATGTCGATACTTTTATTAAATATTATAGGTAGAAAATGATATTATAGGTTGTATAAATGTGCCGACACATTTTGGTGTGGCCATTCAAATTCTTTTGAAGAAAACCGTTTTACCACAAGAGTAGTTATCTATATTTGTATATTGAAAAGTGTATGTAACAAAATAATTTGATTTGCGTAAACTGATATATGAAGGAAAAATGGAGTCAATGGGTTGGAAAATTGTTGGTGGAGCAGATGACTTTGAAATTGAGGCCGAGACTCGAAAGCAACCAAAGGGTGGATATATGTACTTCTAGTAAGTATCAATGTCTTTTTGTTATTATTGTTGAAATGGTAATTGGATTAAAGTATCGATAAACTTTAAATTGATTACAAATTTTAAATGTTAACAGTATGGCCGAATGCAAAAGGATGAAGGGAGATGGCACACAGAGCGGTTCGGTATGTAAAATGAAATTGACATTGAGTAGTATTAGTATTTAGTGTTAATGTATTGATTAAGAAACGTTTATGTTTAATATTAGGTGAAAAAAGATGTGAGGTCCAAATGGAATTCAATGAGTGATGCTGAAAAGGAACCTTACATCACACAGTCAAGGAATGATAGTAAAGAATACAAAGAACGGAGGAAAGCACATGAAAATAAGGTATTCATTAAACTTGTAAATACGTTGATACAAAATATATAAGAACTATAACATTATATATTGTTAAAAAATGTAGGAAGTGTCGACAAGATGCAGCATTAAAAGGGTGAATTTATTAATTAAACACCTTAAGGAGAAGGGTCAGTTGAATGTGCTTGGAGAAATAGGTTTTGGATCGTTGATCGGAGTAAGGGATCGACCTATTCGGAGGGAATTGTGTCGATCCTTGATGGCACAATTTGACGTCAGTCAATGTATGGCTAAGTATGGTGATTATTCATTCCCTCTGGGGGTATCGACTGCTGCAGCCGTATTGGGGGTACAAAACAAAGGCAAAAGTGTTATAGAAGTCTGTAGGAGTAAGAACTGGAAAGCACTTGCCTCCAAATATGGTTTGAATCATAAGGTGACATATACTGAAGTTGAAGAGGATATCAAAGTGGATCTTACTTGGGGGATGAGCTGAAGGCCCGAGTTCTATTGTACCTTGTCGGTATATTTCTTTGTCCAACGGGTGATACGTCAACGAACAAGGAATATATGAAGCTCATTTGCGATGAAGGCTTGAAGGGTGAATTCAATTGGGCTGAATATATCCATTCGAGATTGATTGAATCAATTATCACCTTTAAAAAGGGCAGCCAGAGATACCTCAAAGGGCGCATAGCAATCTTAGAGGTAAATGAGTTGAATCACTTTTTGTGTTTTTATAAAAATATAAATTTTATTATAAATGCAGGTTGCACTGTTCGATTTTTGGTCGGGCTGTGAGGCAGTGCCGGCTTATGAAAGAACCGGAGTGGCACGCATCCGTGCATGGGGGAAGGAAGAGGTGGTTAGAGTGATGGTGAAGTTGAAGTTGGATAGAGGGAAGAAGCAAGAAATGGTAATAAATGTAATTAAATAATATTAAGAATATAATCAATGTCTTAATATTGTAATTTAATTTTTGAAGGTATTGGCAAGGATGTAGAGGAGGCAGTGGAGGCAGAGAGAAGAAAGGAGGGATGGTTGTATTGGGGGATGAAGGTGAGTGGGACGACGGTGAAGCAAAACAGAGTAACTTCGACATTTTGATGTCTGAATTGGCTGATATCAAAAAAATCCAATTTGAAATCATGCAAAGACAATCAAGAGTCGAAGAGAAACTTGATCAAGTCGTAGAGAAACTCGAGAGGCATAAGGGGGTAGTGGAAGGAAAAATAGATGGAGTGGTGAAAGAAGTAGAGGTGTTGAGGGGTGAAGTGGTGAAAGAAGTTTCGGTGTTAAGGGGTGATATTAAGATGGTGACGGGAGAAAAATTTGAGGGAGTGGTGAAGGAGGTTGTGATTTGAGGAGTGAACTTACGGGGGTGAAGGGGGTGGTGATAAATACTCGGATGAAGGAGCTCAATTGAAGGGTGAAATAAAAGATATGAAGAGCTATGTAGAAAAAAGTACGATGAACTGAAAAAAATATGAAGAAGAAAAGAGGGAGGAGGAAGAAGAAGAGATGGAAGAAATGAGGAGGAAGGAAGTCGATGTCACTTATACACCGGAGAGTGTCATAGCAGCAGTTTGGATTCGGAATGTCCTGCACCCCAGAAGAAGAAGCAGAAGGTAAGTTTAATAAAAGAATACTTAATTTGATTTTTATTATGTTGTTGTGACAAAAATTTGTATGCAAAATTGTAGGTTGAAAAAGCGGACATTCCAACCGGAATTGATGACATCGAAGCTGCAATTTGTGATTATTTATGGAATAGCGAGTTAGAATCGGGGTAAGTGAAATATATTGTTTTGTGAGTGATATTTAAATATTTCATGACAAGATATTAATCCTAATGATTCATACAGATATTCTGTAATATCAATGGGAAATCAATTCGCTACTGTATACGACGTTGCAACGTTGAAGCCTACAGAATGGGTTGGCGGTGTGGTAAGTAGAAAGTAGAAAATAAATAAAACTTATTGAATATGTTCTGATTGTGTAATTAATTTTGTTAGGTTATCGATTTGCTCGCCTGGACCATATGCTACGATTCTCAAAAGTCACACCGGAGGATTGGCTACCTTCCATACCTCTTAGTGGTGAGTTAAATTAATAAATATTGAAAAGTAGTGTTATAGACGGTAAATTAATAATGTTTGTTGCGTAATTACAGCAACAGGCGTTGGAAGCCAACAATAAAGAAAGTGTTGAGAATATTTCTACCTTCTGGGGTGTCATATTGGATAACTATGTGAAATTCACCGACTGTGAGAAGGTAAGACACCATACCAATTGCAAATGATGTTTTCGGATATAGAATGTTGAATTTTGTCAAATTGGGTGTGAAATTTGTTGCAGATAATGATCACAATAAACTACCATAATTCACACTGGTATATGTTGGTGTTGGATATGGTAGATCATGTTGTAACAATA